CACCAAAGAATGGAAACCAAATCTCAATCTCAACTCCATACTGTGAAAAGGCCTTCGACAGCATTGACTACAAAGTAATTTGGACATCTACTTCAACTTTAAACTACACTGTGCTTCACATCTTCATCAATCCCCCTAAATAGTCATATGACAATAACACGTGTCAAGTGGTTCACAACAGAAGACTCAGCGAAGCTGATGAAGTGAGGACAGAATGGAGTGGGACACGGAAGGCGCAGTGGTTAGGACTCTTGCCGACCATGCACATGGTCCGAGGTTCGATCCCCTGCTGACGCACACCTGATATCTATGGTAGGCCTACAAAACTTGGGCTACCGATATCCGTGCTGAAAATTTCATACTTGTACCAAAAATACGGTGTGGAATCAAGCTGTAAATAAAAATATAAAAATAAAAAAAGACCGATTTCTATCACCAGTGATATTGGTGATTGTGGTGGATTGGATTATGTGAGAAGACAGGAATACGTTCAACGAGTGAGGAGACTCTAGAAGATCTGGACTTCTTGGATGATTTATGTCTAATATCGCATAAACTCGAAGACTTTCAGGCGAATCCACTATTAAGTTTCTAAATTTACTTAATTGTATGTCTCTGTCATTATTTCACTTTACTATTTACTCTTACCCTCTTGAACTCCCCATCATTATATGTGCTGATTCACTATATTGTTCAAGCTTGTATTTTGTCTACAGTCCATTCACGCTTCCAAGCGAGGCCTGAACTCTCAGCTACACTTATCTGATTATACTGTTGATAGTTAGTCTATTAACACTAAATATTTTGTCTGCTCACATCCTTACTTGAAATAATTCTGCATACACTTTCTATCTACAACTCAAAGTCACTGTGAAGAAAGTGTATTGAAAAATTTCGAAACTCATAATTTGGTTTTGTTTACAATGTACACATCTGAAAAGAATCCACGAAATAAAACAAGCTCGTATTATCCTAAACATCTCTTCCTTCTCTCTTTATTCAAACTAATAAAGGGAACCACTTGTATAAAAGTATAACGTTTATCTGATTAAGTTGGTAATCACTTCGGTCTTCTTCCCTGCAGTGCTTACTTTAAGATCTAGGTGATCTAAACACCAGACGTCGGTTGACTTCCTTTAGGATAGAGACTCTTCGTGTTTTATCCAGACTGATTAGTCATAAAAAGATGAAGGTAACTGGTGATGCACAGAATATCCAGTAAAGAAAAAAAGGGTACAACTTGTCACCCGTCGAAATCACTAATTCCCTCAAAGTTTCGGGTATAATTTTATTCTCTCCTTCATTGGCTCTCGTATTTAAGGGTTTATTCTCCTTTTTAATATAATAACTCAGTGCCAATTTTATTTGGTAACATAAAGTTGAATAAAATTAGCGCTGTTGTATAGATTTTAAATTCATGGGTGCTTTAAAGTGCATGTAAGTCATATCTGATTGGTAAAATATTTTGTAGGCAATGAAAATCAAGCAGTACACAGTTATTAAAAAACTACGCTAACGAATTTTCCATGTAAGTCTTATTCACATCCGAGAATATTACGATTAATCAGTGATTACTCCCGCTACTTTTATGTCTTTTTAATACTGGAGGAAGTTATTAATCGTTCTCGAATCCATTACAGTCAAGTATTTTGTAGATACACTCACATGAATTTGATAGATTTTAAGATAAATTTATTACAAATTAAAAATTATTCAAGAGCCAGCAAAAAAATTCAAAGATTACTAGAGGGCTGCTTCTTTCTAGACTAATACACTAGAGTAGTCCTCGCTAATGAACTCTTGTAAATCAAACGCAGTACTATCACTACTCAATAAAAGCAATTCGCAACATCGCTAAATTACCTTCAAGGGTTCATATTCACATGTTTTTTGCCTTAGTTAAGTGGGATGTGACGGTAAATTCTTTCTTGAAAATGATTTGTGAGAACACAGCTTGATCACCAGAAAAATGGAGATTGCAAACAGTTAAACTCAATAAAGTACTCAAGTAAGAATGCAGAAATTTTTAAAAACAGAATCCCAACATTCAAAAATCATATTCGAGAGCAAGTGGAAACAGTTTGATAAGAATAGAATACACAGTTAGACTTATCAGATGGATGAAGGTAATCGGCAGGAAGCCTTAGACCGAACGAAGGACTAGACACATTAAAATCGTTACTAACTGGTGTTCAATTGAAGTATAGAGAGACTTATTGCGTTTTAAACAGCATGGACTCTTACGACAAATTTATCGTGTAAATTGGTTGACAAGAATATTTTTAGTGAATTTGTGTTTGTATTGGAGGCTAAATACATCAATAGAATGGCGTACATACCAATACGCTGTATTTAACTGGTCAGTTATAGAGCAGCAAACAAGAAGTGCAGTGTCTGTGGTGAGAGCAGGCCGTGAGAAAATATGAGCAAGGCTGATTCAACAGCCAATCACAGCAGACTTAACGTGGCAAAATATGATTCGCAGATAGAGAACTCTATTTTTCGAGGAATCCCGAAGCAACCAATCAGAAGCCTGCATTTGTCTACTTGCATAAGCTATAATAATGTATGTGAAATATATATAAATACGCGTTGATTTTCATAATAAAACGATCTGTTGCCTGGCCCTTGTCTTCTGTTGTTACATGTCTAGTAGAATATGTGGTTTTGTACGCATACCCACAACCATGAAGTCTTCTGATTAATCATTATCAAATTATTCTCACCTTGCAAAAAATAAAGTCAAACAAATTAATATCTGACAATGCAATCAACTTTATTTAGAAGGGAATAATGTTTAAAGTGGACAACAGTCACTATTATTGTTTATACAGCTTTTAAACACTTTCCTAGTTCATAAGATCACAAACACTGCACCGCGTAATACCCTTCAAATGTGATCACTTTGTTCTGGGAATAATAATGATAATCGAACGATAATGTGAGGCTTACCATCGTATACACCATAGAATGGCAACCAAACCTCAATCTCAACCTCATACACTGTGAAAAGACCTTCAACAGAGTCGACCACAATTTAATTTGGACATCTACTTCAACTCTAAACTACACTATGCTTCACATCTTTGTAAACCTCACTCAACAGCCATATGACAATAATACACGTCAAGCGGTTCACAACAGAAGACTCATTGAAGCCGGTGAAGTGAAGACATGATGGAGTAGGGCAAGGAAGTGTGACTTCTATCACTGATGATATTGGTGATTGTGGTGGATTGGCTTATGTAGCAGAGAGTGGGATGTGAGAAGACAGGAATACGTCCAACGAATGAGGAGACTCTTGAAGATCTGGATTTCTTGGATGATTTCTGTGTAATATCGCATTATCTCGGTTCTCATTCGTGATTTCCTGAAGTTGGCAGAACAAGCATCAAAAACAGGACATGAAATGAACTTAGAGAAGACAAAATTAACTACAAAAACCCATCTCTGTCAATGGGAGGTATTTTTGGTAAATCCCCTCTGTCACTTATGAAGACAGTCTCTTTTCAACTACAGACGACAGAAATTCCAAGGATGTCGATGGATAGCTAAAATAGACATTCACTCTGAAATCAGTTTGGACATCTGCTACAATCAGCAAAAACGACAAAATTAAGATTTTCATTACTGATGTCCAGTCAATTATTTCTCTGAATGGTTCAGAAGCTTGAGGCGTTGCTAGAGACATTTCCAATAAGCTGGTGAAGAGATTTATCAACTGTTGCCTTCTCTGCCTTCATACTGAGAATCAGACTACTGAGTAAAATGGATCGACGACAAGAAACTCTGGGCACGAACCAACCAAAAACCTACTGCTCAACAAATATTCCGAAGAAAATGAAGATGGATCTGACACAAGCTGAGGAGACCACTGGGTGACAATGCACCCCACATTGGGGCTTGAATGGATGTCAGCTGGGAAACGTTTAGTTGGGCGTGTGTCAAAGAGTAATATGAAAGAGATACTATGGTGAAGAGATGAGGGCCTATGGTCAATTATGGAGCCAGCTAAAGGTGACTGCAGAGAAGATGATTAAATTGGTGGGAATTTAGTGCTAAAGCTTGATGTCTCATTCAGATCCTAATAGAACAATAATAATAAAATATTAAAAATTAAAAGTTGCATAATACGGAAGATGAAGTAGGCAGATAATTACAGTATAAATAGATATTATAAATGTATGTAAGAAGCTAATACTGAGAAGGGTTGAAGAGTTTTAATTAGTTTATTAGATTTTCCTAGATCAAGACGGAGACAAAGGTAGAACAGACTTCCTTTGTTTACAAAAATAGAGTAAATGTCCTATATTCCCATGCCCAAACTCTTCAGCTGTGTAGAAAATGTTTGCGAAAATTACTGGTGGAGGACAGGCAAATAATGATTCTTCTTCATTTACTTCTGGTAGGCTTGGTAATTTCTTCATATGCTGTCCATGTAGATATTACGATTTCAAATGGTACAAATGACAGGGATGATCACTCTCAAACGCCTCCACTCCTTGAAATCTAAGCAGTCTTTCATTCCGAATAGAGTGCCCACTTTTGTCCTCAAAACATTCGCAGATATTATATGTCATTCTCCTATTGATATTTTGAATGCATCATTTTCCACAAATATTGTGCCTGCTTCTTGGAAAGACATTAAAATTGTTCCAGTGTGTAAATTACCAACTGGATTATGTGTTAAGTTCAGACTTATTGTCATCACCTCACCGTTTTTAAAGATAATGGGACAACCGGTCTTACTTAACCTTGAACCGCCATTGAAGGTTTTTAATAACTCAGAAACGTTTTTCTGCCAACATGTTAGGTGTAATTAACGTGATACTGCTATCTTGTTTCATATTGTCTCCAATTTGGACAAAGTTACTATACACGTTCAGTGTGTCTTAACTTAGGCGTGGAATTATACGAAAGCTATTCACGATAAGGAAAGATATTAATGAAGTGAAAGAAAAATTGAAAGAAGTAATTGAAAAAGAAAAGTATGAAAGCAAGTTGCACAAAAACGAAAAGAAACTACTTATGAAAAACAAAGGAGAAACAAATCAAAAAATTTAATAAACTCATGATAGCGAAAACTCCGAATGACAGACAAGTAACTAAAGCCAATTGGATTGTAAACTTGTCAGACAGAAAGCTAACAGAAGCAGAGGAAAGTGTACTGATGAAAGGGATGAACTTCAATATCAGCAACAAAAGATTAAAACCTGAAGACATCATACCTGTAATTGAAACAGCACTCGAAGGATATGACAAGCAAAAAGCTGAACTGGTACGAGCACAATGTGCACTTACCTTAAAAAAGCAAAAAGCAGAAAAACCAAATATAACGAAGGAGGAACTAAAAGCACTTCAAGACATAAAAGCAGACAAATCCATTGTCATTACTCAAGCAGACAAAGGAAACACAACAGTATTACTTAACAAAACAACATATAATGAAAAGATGAATGAACATCTACAATCTGGACCCTATACCATAATGACTAAATCAGCTGAAACAATCATCAACAAAACAATGAAAGAAACAGCAAAGGTAGTTAGACAAATGAAAGAAGTAATTGGTAAGTCAAAATGGTTTGAAATTATGCCAAAATCCTGTAATGTACCTAGGATATATGGTAAGATAAAATTGCATAAAGAGGGATATCCAATAAGACCGATTGTAGACTTCAGAAACACACCAACGTATATGCTATCCAGATTTCTCTCGACAATACTAAGACCGACAAGAGACAACTCAAAAGCTAGAATAGTAGATTCATTTGAATTAGTGAGGCGAATAAAAACCACTAAAATAGAGGAAGAAGAAATACTAGTTAGCTTTGATGTAAACAGTCTTTATACGAAAATACCCATTCAAATGGCCATGATTGCACTGAAAGAGAAACTAAATGAAGATAATGGCCTGAAAGACAGAACACAGTTATCCGTAGAAGAAATAATAAAAGGGGTAGAATTCTGTCTGACAACAACATATTTCACATTCGAAGGAAAAATATACCAACAAAATGAGGGAGTAGCTATGGGATCGCCTATCTCACCAATTATAGCTGACATATTCATGGATTATTGGGAGGAGAATGCCCTTAAACCATTCAGATCATCACTAAAATGTTGGTGGAGATATGTAGACGACACACTAGTAATAGTGAAAAAAAACGATACTGAGAAACTTTTCTCACACATAAACAGACACGTCGACTCAATAAAATTCACTATGGAATTAGAGAATGAAATTGGAGAACTGCCCATGTTAGATTGCAAACTACAAAGAATGACAGATGGTAGCATAAAAACAACGATATATAGAAAAGCCACACATTCTGGAAGATTCCTTGATTATTACTCAGCTCATCCACTCTCGGTAAAACGAGGATTAATACAAGGTCTTGCAGATAGAATACGTAGACTTACAACAGCACCAGAGGACCAGCGTAAAGAAATAAAAGTCCTATTCAAAATGCTACTCGAAAACAACTACCCTAGAGAATTTATAAAAGATAATATAAAAAAGAGAAAAAAGAGGGTAAAACCGGAGAATAACAAGATGGAAGAATGGAAAAAAACAGTCGCAATACCATATAAAAATGGTACATCAGAGGCAATACAAAGAAACCTCAAAAATATCGGCATTCGAACAACCTTTAAACCGACAAATCTAATCAAAAATAAAATAAATCAACTGAAAGATCCCATAAAAATGATGGATAAAAACAATTTGATTTATAAAATATCTTGTGCTGACTGTCCAACTAAATATGTGGGGCAAACGTCCAGATCACTCAAAATAAGAGTGAATGAACATAAACGCCTAACTAAAGGTCAACCAACAGGGACACAAGCTTACAAAAATCTTGAAAAAAATTCATCGATAGCTGCACATGCATGGGACAAAAACCACAATATCGATTGGAACAATGTGTGTATTCTAAAAACAAACATGAACAAATGGAAAGAAAGACTCATAACAGAATCGATATTCATTAAAGTCACACCGGATACATGTAACAAGGGTGACTCAGTACAACTATCAACAACTTGGAATATAATTCTAAATACAAACACATGAATGAATGTAAAATATAATTCTGAACACACATATGCACACACAAAACATGAATGAACAAAAAATAATAATAATGAACTATATATTTGAGTACAAATCATAAATGTGTGAATAAAACAATTCCAACAGTGGTGTGAACACGGGCAGTAATTTTGCTCGAAATATTACCAATAACAAAACTTATCATTGTGTGTAAACTATTGAAATATAATTATACTTTATTTGATGTAATCCACAATGCTCAAACTTTTTACTGATATTAATTAATTAATTTGCTACAGGAGAAGCTTTAAATTCTGCAATTTTTATTGCAGCATTTTTTAGAATAATATTATTATTGTTATTATTAAATTAAACATCTGCCTTTGATTATGTACCTAGACCTTTCTAATTAAGTGCGTCTGATGTGACAGGATAGTGTATTGATAGATAGTTGCGTTCTTAGCTTTCTGATTAGAAGCAATACACTGAATATTAAGGGGAGTATTCGACTGCTTTACTTACTGAAGTTATTATCCCTCGAGGTGCTGTTCTTAATTATTTTCTGTTTTCTTTCTTCTTACATGACCTGCTTCATTCCAATGAAGCCAACTTGTTAAGTATCCTGATGAAGCAACTATTTCAATGCTGGCTACTTATCAATCAGATAGTTACAAAATGAGTAGCTTTTTATCAGAAGTTAGTCAATGTTCGTTGTCAGGTGGTCTTAAGATGAATCGCTGCATATGTAAGACGATGTATTACACATTCGGACATAAAGATGATTTACATAAACTAGTTTTTTCCCATGGTTACACTATCATATACTCCTTGAATTATATCTTTCCTCATCTTCTTATTTCGTGTCAGCTTCAAGCAAGATAATTCATCTAACCTTCTAAATAAAGAAGTTAAGTCCGTCTGGCATCCCATAGTCTCTAATTCTGGATAATGTTATTGTTAGAAAGCACTTGAACTCATGCAAGGCATTGGCGAATATCATCTTGTCGGATGCTGAGCCCTATCTCTAGACAAAACTGTTCCCTCGCATCTCCTCAGGGAGAATTAGAAGGTACTGTAAAATAATTTATGCATGGACGACTGAATATGTAAACTTATTAACCCTTTATTTGGTAGGCAATTTATGTGATAAGAAGCATGCAAGGCAAGAGAGTATTTGCCTGCTACAGAACATAAATTAAAGGGCAGTATTTATTTTTTTTCTATCATTATAATACTGTTGTCACTATTCCCATTTATTTCTAATTTTTTTATATACATTTTTTTGACATTATTATTAATTTAAGTGTTCTAGCAATTATTTTCCCTCTTACAAAATAAAATAAAGAGAAAATTAGGTGCAATATTATACTATGTACTAAAAATCGCATATTGTTTAAAATGCACACTTTGGAATAAAGCCATACTGTTATTATTATTCTTATCTTCAGCTATATGTAAAAGACGAGTTTGAACTTAATTCGAAAAGTTCGTTGGCATGTGATAGATAACTGTGAAAACACTTATTTTCTCCGCTTGATGACTGCTATCAATTACTTGGGACAAAATAAGGCAACTTATAGATTTAGTCTAGCCTTTTCGAACTATGGGATGGATTTGTTAAGTTGTCTATTTGTTTGCCCTATGTAGCCTCCTCTATAGGAGCAGCTAAAACTATAGGTTTATTTAGACGTAGCACAATGACCTAAAAGGTCCCAGTGGTTCTCTAACTGATGTCAGCTCAGTATGAAATCCTTCAACCAATCAAACAAAATTCCCTACAAAGCCAATACTTGAAAATTAATCTGAAGCTCACTAGCGACTGACTCTATTCAGGCAGTTAACCTGGGGTTCTAGTGGGGAGCCGTGACTAGTAGGGTGCAGCATGCTGAAGGTGATGCAGTAACTCATCAAAGAAAACATTACGCAGTGGTCACGCTATGTCATCAGTTGCCAGAAGTTAGAATTCATGGATCGCGTCCCAGGGGCTTAAAGGTCCACGAGCTCTCCAGCCTTGTAACCAGAAGGTGCTGGGTTCGAACCTGGGTGGTGGATGTGTACTGATGAAGAGTCTCAAACTAAGATGAAACAGCTGTCCAGTACTCCCTGAAGGTTGTCCGATGTTTCTCTAACTGATGTCAGTCAGCTCATGATGAAATTCTCCAACTAATCGATCATAATTGTTTACTGGTAAGTGATAAACAAGGAGTGTCGGCAGTATGGCTATGAATGGTCTTAGAAGTAGATTTTCACTAGTTCAGAAATAAGTCTCTCTTCTTAAATGATGAACCCGATGTTGTCAAACGTTCTTCTATTGTTTTAGTTAAATATGAATTACAAATATTTATACCTAGAAAAAAGCTTCAGTTTCTATTACCTCAAACTCCATTGATATCTTGCTTATTTGACTTATTCCAACTAAAATTTATTCATATCAGAAGAAATTGTTCAACAAAGTGAAGTCATAAGCCTGACTGAATCAGACATTTATTGGTTTCTGTTAAAGAGAGGAAATATTAGCTTTTTCCTTTGTTTGTTGTGAAGCAACAATTTCGATTTTGTGAACTTTTCTAGTTCGCAATATATTTCACAACCTTTTGGGAGTGTTTGTTTACATCAATTTTTCTTCAATCCCTAGTTTTGCAAAACACAGAAAAAACATTATTTATCATCTGTTAATTTATATTCACCTAACTAGGAACTACTAGTTTCATTCAAAAAGAATGAAGTTATTCACTGTAAACAATAAATCACGTAACATCGGCCAGTTATGGTCATGTTAACTCTGTCACATGAATCAAACATATGATACTTTACCTTTCCGATTACACTTTCTTTATTGAAAATATAATTTGAACAAGTTAGGCAAACTAAGTAGAACATTAACAACAACGAATGGATTGTCCTTCTTGTATACACTTTGGTAGTCTCAGAAATCAATACTTGCACCCATTAGAATAATTATTTATATAATTAATCTTTCCATGACCATCTCATACTACTCAGTCTGATTCATCCTATGTCACGCCATGTAATAAAACAAACAGAAATACTTTGACTTATGCTTCCAAATACAAGTGATCAGAAGGTTATTATGGCATTAAAGCGGTGGGAAATCGAACATTTCTAACGTCACAGTCAGGTATTGAGTAAATGAAAAGTGTTTCATCAAGTTGTCAGCTATATGTCAACGAACAGGTTAAACATATTCCTCAGTCAGTGAAAATTCATCATCTGAAGGTAAATTTATTAAGAGTAGTCACAGCCCCGAGAGGTAAAAACTACCGGGCAGAGGAGACCATCTTCACTTTAACTCAGTAGACTTAGAAGTACCTATCATTTTGTTTCACCAAAACTTATTTCACTGAATTTGTGACCCCTATTTTCCGTTGGAGTAGTCAAGTGACTTATCTTGACGACACCAATCCTCACAATTCTCTCAGCAAATTGCTTGATATAAAGTGCAGTACTGAAATCGACAAATAATTTTGGAGTTGATAAAATTGGCTAATGAAATAGTACTGAAGACTTGAAATTCAGGTATATGATTCGAAACTAGTTCAGCTCTATGATACAGTTGGTTTATTTGCGGAATTTTCGTCGTCCGTCTCGACAAAATTTTCGCCGCACGTTCAAGCGAAGAGAGAAAAATCTGCAGAAAAAATCACATATATATATATATATATGAATTCACTGTGCAGGGGAGAAGCAGTCACTACACTGGTGTCATCGAAACTCTAAAAAATAATACATGAACATTCTTTTCCACAGAACGAAGTTTTTAAATTCATCACTCTTTGTGTAATTTTAATACAGGTGAATGGTAATCTACCAAGTCTGACCGCTTTAGTGTGCATTTATAAGTTTAGCAATTTTTATGAAGATAGTTACATAGAGAAAATGACTTGGAAAGCCCACCGTCACCTCCTTGAGCATGGTCAGTGTGGTTAGGTGGTAAAGGCGTCTTAAAGTCAATCAAGAGTTCTATATTGGCACAACTTGTGGGCTCAAACCGTAAAACTAATAAATGCCCCACCTTTACAACCAACTCTACTCAAGGCGGAACCACAATTCCCTAAGTTTGCATGCCTTCCATTATAAAGCACAGCTGACGCAGTCGCCACAAGACAATTTTCAGCCCAACCTTTTTATTCCCAAAGCGTTAGTTCAATCCCTCTCGGTTCCATGGCCTTCAACCCCGACTCAGATTAGTAATCTCTCCTGATGACGCGAGATAACTGTAAACATTATTTTTTCACAAGAATCGATACTGAACAAAGAGTACTCTTTTCGATAACTTCATCATCACGCTCTACAGTTATATATATACATCATAGTGAATGAAGGAATTAGTGTTATGAACAACATTAATGCCGTTTACATAACATCGAATCAATAATATCGATAGATTACAGCTCAGTAGCATCAACATAAAATAACCTGAATGTCAGAAAAATTAGGAAAGATATATATTTGTATATATTATATGTTAATTTTATAATAATAATAATAATAATAATAATAATCACTTTATTATGTGTACTACTAACTTTATTATGATTATCATGCTCTGCTATATCTGCATATTTTAATCCTAGTTGTGCAATTTATTATTGGAATTATTACTATTACTACAATTATCACCATTATTGTAATTCTTTCTACATTTTTCTTGATTATATTTAATTCTATTGATCCACATTATTTCAAATGTCTATGACTGATATTTAATTATGTAAGTTTAAAGGCTAATGAGAATTTAGGCCCGAAAATATGTGTTTGTTTGATTGAATCGTGTTCTGAAGTTATCTTAGCAGGAATAATTAAGTTATATCCAACTCATCCAGGAAGTGTGAGTTTCTTCACAGGTGATGTGCCTAACTGCTACTGCTTATTTGTTGGATCTTTAGAATGAGAGTTCATTAAAGAATTCTTCATTTTGTGTAAGGAGTCTGTAAATACGTCCAGTAGTCATTAGCAGTTAGTCGATCGCGATGACATTCCCAAAACATGGACTTGTGATTTTGTACACATCTACTGAAATACAAAACTATTCTCTCACTCTC